CCGATATTTATGTTAGGTACAAATCCTGGTATATTTTTTTTCATTATTTATAATAGGACTTAAAGCTGTTTTCCTTTCACTCATAATTAAATCCTTATTACTATTAAATATATTAATGAAATTATTACTTTCTCTGCGTAAATTACCATATTTCATTTTATAATCTGTACATTTAGAAATTACTTTACCAAATTTGTTATAAAAAACTTTTTTAACTTCGCTTTCTTTCACTTATTTTATTAAATATAACAATATATTTTTTACCATTAAAATAAATTAAAGACAATATACTATCATTATTAACTACATAATCTTTATTATTAGATTTTAATTTATAAGTAAATAAACTTTCAAATAAATTAAATTCATCAAATCTTTTAAGACCAAAAATATTAATTTCTTTATCATTTATATTAAAATTTAAAGGTAATCCTTTTATATCAAACAATGACCTACCAAAATAATTTAATGTTTTTTTAGTATCGTCAAATTGTTTTCTATTCATTTTATTTTTTAAATCAGATATAACATCTTTTTTTAATTCATATTTAATATGAACATGATAAAATTCTAGTAATAAACTATCAAAAGAAGAATAATCTAAACTATTATCTGAAGGATATGCTTTAATATAATCTAGACTATCATTTATACTAACAAACAACATCTTAAATGAATAATCATCCATCTTAAAATTGAAATGTTCTTGTTTATATCAAATACTACGATACACATCCCTATCCTAATTTTAACTAGAACAGAATAATTCAAACCAACACCTAATTTTTTAGAAAAATATAATTTATCTTTAAATAAATTAAATCTATCAGGAAAAATATGTGGATCTAATCATAACTTTTCAACACCTCTATTTACCAATGAACTATTAGAATAGTTTATATTTTTACTGTATATATAATTAACCATTTTTTTTTATTTATGTAAAAAACAATACTAGATATATAACTATATATGTCTAACCATATAATTGAATATAAATATATTACTCTATATAAATAATATATTTGTGGATACCACTCCATACAGATACTTTAGACTTTTTTTAACATTCATATTATTAATAACTACACTTATCCATAAAGTATTTTTAGTATATAAAAAAAAATTCCCAATAAAAAAAATGACCAAAATAATACATTAAAAATTAAGTCTTTCTTGCTTCCGCCTAAATATGCGTTTATATCTAATTCTAATTTATCTTTTAATAAATCTGTATTATTTAAATAGTAACAAGAAATTCATAATTTTATTATTAAACTTATAATACTTATTAGAAACTCAAGTAAGAAACAAAATGTGTATCCTATAATAAAGAAAAACAACTTCACATTTTGTATTGAACAAAGCATATATGGACATGTTAAATCTAAATATAGAAAAATATAAACTAATTTGACTAACAATAGAAGCTAATATAGAGAATAAATTAAATAAAATATATAAACAACCAAAGTATTTCACACTATAAGCTCAAAACGAATTATTTATTTCAAAACCAGTAATACCTATAGCCACACAAAGAAGTCCTGTTAATATAAAAATTCTATATAGAATTCTTCTATTTAAAAACCATTATTAAAAAAATGATGATAACTTTCATTATAATCATAACTAAGACTTTTCATAATTGCACTTGAAAATGTCTCAACATGTTTTTTAACAGAATATAATTTATATAGCAATAAAAAATTATTCTCATAATAAGATAAATATTTTTGCCCCTTTTAAAAAAATTAAACCCTATTCTAAAACTAATAAACATTCTACAAAGAAAATAAAAACCTAATAAAAATCATATTTTGATTTTTTCATATAAACTTAATATAAAATTTAACTTTTATAAAAATACAATATATCTATTAAAAAAAGGTGATATTAATCCTCTCCCATACTACTCTCCGATCTATTTTCTGGGCTACTAAAAACTTTTGACAATTCTGTACTACTAATAACTTTTGACAATTATGTACTACCTAATTCATCAGATATAGATATATGATCTTTAGAACTTTAAGTACTAAAATCAGTTTTTCTTTCAATAAAAAAAAGGTCATCCTTACCATAAATAGGTGAAATATGCCTTTCCTCTACATCTATATGTAAGATGTCATACAACTTTTCTAAAGCTAAGTCATTAACATAATTAGGATCATTTCTCATAGCTTCAATTTGGATACGTTCATTTAAGGATAATAAATGAACCATTAAACCATCAATATTCACAACATTTTCATCTTGATCAACATAAGTAAAACCATTACTAAAACATCATGTTCTATACGTGTAATTGGCTATACATTCATCTATAATACTGACACATTGTTTGTCAGCTGTATAAAATTTTTCATAAAAACCTTTACTAGTAAAATACAAATCTCAAGCTTCAAGAAAACTCATACCATTATAATTTTAACCATTTGGATCATTTCATAATACTGTTTTTAGAATTTCGTCTTTACTATCATTATATCCAAAATAGTATTCACTTAATCTGTTATCCAACACCTCCCTATATTCACTAAAAATAAAAGAAATGAATGACCCAACAAAAAATTCTTCATCAGTAGTAAGTTTAATCTTTGACTCCTCCAATTTTAAAGTAATAGTTTTAGTTACACATATTTTAACATAAAAAAAAATGCATCAACCATTTCCTTGTTTAAGTAAATAGGGTAAAGCTCACCACTTATCTTAGATTTAAAAAAATGTATAGAGTCTAACGAAAAATCTAGTTTATATTTATCAAGCTTTTTCCTATCAACTAAATATTTTAATTGTTCTGTTTTATTAAGAATATCTAGCTCGCTTATTCATTTATTATTTTCTTTAAGGTAAATAATGTAATTAACAGTCTTATTAACAACAGATGCTTGAAACAAATGAATAATATCAGAACTAGTTAAATCATCTCTAATACTACTAAGTTTAGTATGACTGTTACTACAATAAAATCAACCTCTAATTAACCTTTTATTTAGTATATATACTTTATTATTATTACAAGATAATATAAGAGAATTCTTAGTAGGATAAGATAATATATTGGTATTCTTGTTAAGAGAATTAGTAGTAGAATATCATCTAACTTTACCTAAGTTCATATTAATATTTTTAAAACTAAAATCTCTACCTTTTAAACCTATACCTTCTACTTTATTATTTAAATACATACTTTTTCTGAAAGAACTATCTATTCTGCTTAAATTGTTATCTAACAAACTACACAAACCTCTTTGACTTTGAGGTCCACCATTAACATTTAAATGATTAAGTTTATCTAATAAACTATCTAAATCTTTAACTAAAAAAACAAAGTTAAATATTATGTTTTTATTAAATTTTTTGTTTATATTAAAAACAAATTTATTCTCATTAGAGTCCAAAAAAGTTTTATATCCATCACTAAAATTATTTTTAATCATATGGCAAACAGAAATATTATCACTTTTAAATAATAAATCTACTATTTTTGACATATTATCTATATCAAAATAAATAGGTTCTCAACCAAATAAAGAAATAAATTCAACAAGTGTTAAATTATTATTACTTCAACGCAGAACATTTGCTGAGTTATTGCAAAATTTTTCATTAAATGATTCTATACCTCAATTACTATTAACCTTAAATGAGTCATCCAAGATAAAAATAGTGTTATTAACATTTAGATATTTTACATTAAACTTATTAATCTCTTCAATATAATTAACTAAAGGATAAGTAAACATAACATTATAATCATAGTATGAATAAACTAAAGAATGTGAGATGTTTCTATTATTCATTTTTTTTTGTATAAACTATTAAAATTAACCATATACAACCCATCATTTTTCTTCCTATTATCTTTTTTAGATTGATTACTAATTCAACCATCTCTTATACTAAGAATTAATTCTTTGGAAAATATATTCTTATTGTTACCCATATACTTAACTACAGGTAAACTAAAATCTTCTAAATCAACACCATTAAGATTTAAATTATCATCATAAGTTCTAGATAAATGATCTTTTAATAAAGGATATGAAGCATTTTTATGATAAATAAGTACTATACTATACCATTATGAAAAATCTCTTAAACCCAATTTAATCATAAAATTATTTATTTCTGAAAAAGGATTATCTTCATCTCTTATATCTAATCAAAATACTTTTACTAAAATATTTATTTTTAATAAAAGATCATTTATCTTTTTATCAAAATAAAAGTTTTTCTCGAATATATATTTATTGATTTTAGACAATTCATTATAATTATTATCTTTTAATTCTACTTTATTAATAAACAAATGAAGATAATTTAACTCTAACTTAATTTCATAAACATTCCTATAATCAATAAATATTTTAGGCTCTTTGCTTAAGTAATCATGTATATGACCTCTTTTATTGTTATCTAATATATTATTTAAATCATTGTCATACTTAGATAACCGATCTCTTGATGCACGTTAAATTTCAATTAATAATTTTTCAAACATAATTTTTCTTATATAAAATTACTTTACTAGATAGACAGTTTTACTTAAAAAACATCATTAATATATACTCTAGATAAATATATACAAGTTTACTAAAGTAAACATTAATTAAACCTAATAATAAATTAAAGATATAACATTAATATAATCTTTTTATATACATTATAATAAACATTATCTACAACACTTTTTTTTTGTTGGTTTGGTATCAATAAAATTTTATTTTTATATTTAACACTATTAAATATACTTTTTTATCTTACTCTTTTCTTTTTTCAACTATTTATACAATACTAGATTAATACTTTTTAGATAATCTTTATTACATAACTAAAATAAATTAAACCATTTAATCAAAAATAATTTAAATAATTGTTATACTGAAACATATATAATCAAAATAAACTAAACCTTCTTTCCTTTCAAGAATATAATCATTATTAACAAGCTCATAATTACTATTAAATCTACTGACAATCTCCTGATAAATACATAAAAAATAAGTGATTTGAACACTTAACCTTCTATGTGTAAAACAGATGCTCTACCTATTAAGCTAATTTCTTTTACGGGCTTTAACCATAATATCCCTTATTATCTACAGGTTTCCTGCTAATTGTGTTTATTATTTAAAAAAATTTTACTATATCATTTAAGAGGGAGTATTTTAAAATATCTAGTAAACATGTTCTAGCATACAGCTGTTTTGAGGGGTAGTGGTCTTCTCCCTAATAACTGTCTAATTTTATAGGTAATCATTAGAATGCTATTTTCATTTTATGGATTATAAAAATCTTTGCATAAAATGGATTTGTTATATAATTTATCATTAGACATAACAAGTTAACCTTAATCCAACGATTATTTTATAAAAAAAAAACAATATTAATATAATATATAGATTGATTTTTATATAAATAGTAAGTAAGTAACCGTAAATCCCATATCAAACACAGTAAAAGGAGAAACGTATATTCACACCTACTTTCTTAAATAAAACCACTAAATTTTTCAACATTAATAGATTAGAAAATAAAAGACAAAATATTATGGTTTCCTTCTAAATGTATTCACAGTTTGAGATTTATGTAATTTAACGTATTTTATATATAATTACTTGGATACAAATAAGCCGATTCCTGTAATGTAATATTTAACTAAAAAAAAAGATTTGTTCAGGCTTTTTATTTAAGTTACAATAAAATACTAAAAGTTTTTATTGTTTTTAGTTTCTGTGTATTACCTAAGCTTGCACCTCACTTTCTAAAAGCTAGATTTAAATCAACGGACTTCCCTATTATTTTCAACCATCATTTGATGAATAAAAAAGCAAAACTTTTATTAACAAAAACAGAAGATTATAAATTACATTTTGTATCACAAGTTTATAATAAAAAACAAATAAATAATAAAAATAAATTGGAAGAAAGATTCCCATTTAATTAATTAGAAAATAAAAGACAAAATATTATGGTTTCCTCCTAAATGTATTCAGAGTTTAAGATTTATGTAATTTAACGTATCTTATATAAATAGAATCTACATCTTAAACTGAATAGCCAGTTAAAAACCACCCCTTTTTTGCGGTATTTACTAATTAAGCACTTTAGTATAACATTTAGTATAGTACTTATGTATGTTAGTAATGTTAACATTACATAATGAGTTTACTACATCAATATATATAGTACTTATGTATGTTATAACGTAACCTAATCAGATCAAAAATCTACATTTTTTTAATATATGGAAAAATTTCCATGCACAGTTAAGATCCTCAATAGTATATGGATACAAATAAAAATAATCATACAACATCAACAAAATGTCAATATAATATTCCAGCTTCCAATCCTAGATGATGATTATTTGTTAAATGATAGGCTAGTACTCTTCATAAACCAACGGCTAAAAAGGCTGTACCTATCATTACATGTAATCCGTGGACAAATTTGTTATCATAAGAGCTCTTTATTTCTTATATCCATTCTTTATCAGAATGGTTCAGACTATGTCTTCATTTATAAAGTATTTTTTTTTACAAATGTAGGGTGTTCGTGGTAGAGTTATTGTAAATAAAGTACTCATCTACTAGTCGTTGAGGCTTCATGTATCCCTCAAAATAAAGATTATTGCTCTTGTAATTTTTTTTTTAATTTATTAAATACATGCTTCGCCGCACATTGTCCATATTATCTTATTGGCAGCGCCTTATGATAATGATGGAGTTTCATGCTATTTACCCCATTTTCTATTTTAATTAATAACTATATAAAATTTTATCTATTTCTATTCATATTTCTTTTTATTTTTAAAATTTGTTTTAATGTAGCACTATGTTCATCATACTTGTTAATTTCTCCTACAATATTAACTATTTTTTTGAAATCATATAAATCTAGAAATTTATTTCCTCTTAAAGAGTATTTTTCAAAAAAAGGCATTATTTTATTAGTAATATCATATAATTTATATACTACATAACTGGATTGAGTAGGTCTAGTTTTCACAGTTTCTACTAAACCACAATTTAAATAAATTACCAAATTTTCTAGTAAATTTATATCACGTATATGTTGTGCTATATAAAAATACGGACTTACTCTATACCCTGAATGGGTCTTGGATGTTTTTACATAAAAACAACCTTCACCGTCAACAAACCCCGCTACTCAAAATGGATTAAAATCTTTGTTAGATAATATTAGGTTTCTTGCCGCAGGTATAATATCGGGAAACATATCTAATAATGACTTTGATAAACCTTTACTTATAGAGGCTTTGTAAGACAATATTTTGTTTAAATCTTGTTCAGTTTTATGCTGACCATTGTAAAGTATATCTACTACTGAAGAAAACATACGGAAATCTTCTCTCTTTTGTGTTAATAGATTATATTTGTTAAAATGAGGTATTATTACATCTTTTAGTGCTTTAATGGATTGAACCGAATATATTACGCTAGGATTACCATTTTTAACTCTTTTTATTATAGTACCTACTGTGAAAAAAGCATTTATTTGTTTAAGTAAATAAAAATCTTTTTCATGTAGTTCTATAGTAAAATTTGGTGCTATACGTAAAGATTTAAACCTTTTTACATCTTTAGCTATTCTAACAGAAAAGCTAGATTCAGCATCACAAAATCCTGTTATTCAATTAGGATTTAAATTACTAGTAGAATATATGAGGTTAGAGCTCTTATCTTGAGCTTTAACCGTTGGATAGTTAGATATTTTAATTCTCATATATATGTTTTTTAAAATAGGGGCTAGAATTAACCCAGTTCCAAAGTAAAAACAAGACCCAAAAGCACCATCAGATATAGTAAATGATGATACAGAATATTCCCCTCCTTGTAGTGCTGTAAATATAGCTGCCAATATAATTGTATATAATAAACCATATAAAGCTTTACCTCTTTTACCATTAATTAAAAAGTGGTGTCCATAGGTAACAGTAAAACCTGAAGAAAGTAAAATAACTGTGTTTATTAATGGTAATTCAAAAGGATCTATTGCTTCTATACCCATAGGAGGTCACATGGCACCTAATTCTATAGCAGGAGAAAGAGCACTATGAAAAAATGTTCAAAATATAGCTAAAAAAAACAAAGCTTCAGATATTATAAATAAACCAACACCTATATTAAGTCCTCTTTGTACAGCTAATGTGTGATTACCTATATAGGTTCCCTCTGCTATGATATCTCTAAATCAAAGTGCCATTGATAATACTAAAGCTGTTAAACCTACTAGTAAATTATTTTCTGCATAATCAAATCCATGGAAAGATAATACGGCGGAAGTGGTAAGAGTTAAAAGGCTAATAGATGTATACATAGGCCATGGAGAAGGAGATACCAAATGAAAAGGATGTGCTTGAAAATTACCTCTATTTAGGTTTAACATGTATTTATATTAAATTTCATAATGCATTTTATTTTTATTTTTTGTAAATAAAGTATTTTTTTT